TGGAATTGATTTCAAACTATTACTATTGGTTTGGCAAGAACATTTGTTTGCATTAATTCATCACTCTTGGAAATTAAAAAAATGTGTTCCGAACTTACATGTACAAAATCATATGTCAGATGCGACAGGGACACGGAAAAAAATGGACCCCTAATTTCTGGAATTACCCATGTACCGGAATATGTACAAAAAGAACCTAAAATGGAAAAAGAGTTTCCCATCTTGAAATCACTTGACACCCTGTGCACAAAACCTATGAGACAGGTCTAAAACCCAGAGTGTTTTCTAAATCAAAGTCTCAAAATCTTTCCTACAAATTTGCCTTTTTGGGGCATGTTACTGCTTTCCGATGGCTGACATATCACTGCAAGGGAAATTGTGATGTCTATTTATGGAGTTCTTGCTCTGGAGGGAATGCCATACAGTATGTGAGCGCTTCTACCCATTTGTCATACATGTATAAATGCACGTATACACGCAGGTACCTGCATTTCAATCAATATTATTCACAGAAACATAAAAAAATGATACAGAGTTGCATGAATACTTCGCACAGGTGCGCATCAAACGTACATGAGCATGTACACATAATTACATAAATATGAATTCAATATTCTCACTGGATTTCATCTATAAATGGCATATTGGTACCAATGGGGCCTTCTCTCAAAGAGTATGCACAGAAATGATTCAGGAACGTTGAGGAGCCCCTGAGCACTGGAAAGGCATTGCAGTAGGAAATGCAGTACAAATCTTGTATAAAACTTATAACTTTCAAGAGTTGGCACTTGTGGAATCCCACTATAAGTCATGAAAACTGTCTGTGGTACATGTATCTTCTTATCATAAAAAGTTTAGATTTTCAGCCAGAAATAATACCATGCCTGGACTATTTCGCTGTGAAACAACACCATTGACAAGTGGTTAATTCAAGTCTGAGGATTGTCAGTACACATGTATATATGTAATATGCATTTGTCTGGATGGTTCAAACTTAACTTTAACAGGCTAGTTGATGGTACCGGTATTTGAGATATTAAATTGCAATCCAACCAGATTATCATGCCTTAGCTACATGTACCTAAAATTTTGTTTGTATTTGATATAATGATTTTATTTTTTACAAGTTCCAATTGTATATTTTCTTAACTAAATTTTTAAAAATTACTTGAATTCTCACATTGTTGGTGCATTAAAACATTGAAAAGAGTTCTGCCTCTGGCCACCAATTATCTAATATGACTTGAGAACTACCAAAACACTGTCAATCTGAAGAAGAAACACTCATTTAGGAGGGGAAAGATATCTCACATTTTCTTTGAAAATACATACATGTCCATGGTCAGTCTGAGTCACACCTGGTCGATAAGAGCACAGCTTATACAACATGTTGCTTACAGGGAACTTTTACATGTACATGTACATGTAGGTCCAAATACAAGGTTCCTGTTATAACAAGGTAATCTGCAACGTCTGAAGGACCTCTTATTATTGAGGTTTGACTGTACATGAAGAAATCTTCCCTGTCACTGCATTAAAATACATGAGTGCTCTATCATGGAGGACTAATTACTCCATGTCTAAATGTATCACCAAGTGAGTTAACATTAAGCCCTGCATTTGTGGTGACACTGGCAAAGGGCAAGTGCAAATTAATAGACATTTATGTCATTGTTATTGTGACCATTGAGGGTGGAATTTGACCATTTGACCGTTCCATTGCCATGGACCTTGTTCTTAATCCATCTGCTTCCATTTTGGTTCCATTATTTTTTTCACTGAAGTATCACATTCATGGTTAACTCGTTACCATAAGTTCTCTGATAATAAGACTTTTTCTGTCGTGGCACTCTACTGCACATGGGGACTGAGGTGGTGCTCGGATATACATGGACACTGTAGAAACCTTTCCCTACCATCCCAGTGACACTTCTATATTTCAGGAATGTGAGGAAACATGAGGAATTCACTGTACATCACTAGGAAAGTAAACATTTAAGCCCTGCATGTTTTGTAAACATGGAAAAAGATGAGTGCAAATGAGTATATGTTGTGTGACCTATCTAAAGTACAGCCATTTTCCTAGTTTCCGATTTTTCCTAGCTACGGATTGATTAAAATGACAACCTATTTTGTATATTATTCTCCAGTGCTGCATTCTAAGACTAGTATTATTTGAAAGGTGAAATGTAAGCTTCTTCTTGTACAAATTTTGTTCTCAGAAAATTTTTACTTCAGAAATTTTACCTAGATTTCCAATTTGACATTTTTGTACGGTTTGTCAAAAATCACAGGGCCAAAAACAAATCGATGAAATTTTGCAGGACAGTCGGTTACTCGCTACCTGTGATTCCACACACATTTTTCATACTAAACAGTCACATAAACTCATGCATCTAATATCTGTTTAATAAAAATAACTTTTATAGGAGCTGTTTTTTCTATGAACCCCGTTTTGCGTACATGTATATGGATCACTCACCCCATCAGACCATTGATGTATTAATATGGGTGATTTCCAGTGTGTTTCTGTCCGTAAAAATTTGGTTTCGATTTTGTCGTCTTCACATCGGCCATTCATTTATATTACAGCGATTAACTCCCAATCGTTTGACTGATGCTAAACACAGTCGGGATCCGTTTGGTCTGGGAACAATACAGTGTTAAAGATGGTGATCCCAACTGCTGGTTATCAGTGGCCTGTATCACTAGTAGTGAAGCCTTGTGTGTGCATGAATGCTATGAATGTGACAATAACAACAGCCGTCAGGTATTTTCATGGGTAGCACGTCACTGTGTGGGACTGGAGAGCAATTGGTGTGGGTGCCACATTCTACGCATCTGGCAACGATTTCACACTCGATCCCAAGCATCATATGTATTTCAAGATCCATTCGTTCAATGTTCTCAAGCAATGTTATGCCCTGGGAACCTACATGTAACACTATTTAGTTCTCAGACCAAACAAATCCTGACTGTATTTTAGCTTCGGGACTGGATGAGCAATTGGTGTGGGTGCCACATTCCACGCATCTGGTAATGATTTCACACTCGATCCCAAGCATCATATGTATTTCGAGTTGCAGTCGTTTGGCGTTCTTAAGCAATGTCATGCCCTGGGAACCTACGTGTAACACTATCTAGTTCCCAGACAAAACAAATCCCGACTGCACATGTATTTTAGCGTCAGTCAAATGATTGGGAGTTAATCGCTGGGGTGAGCGAATGGGCAATGTGAAGATGACAAAGTCGAAACCAAAATTTTACGGACAGAAACAAACTGGAAATTGCCCATATTAATACATCAATGATCTGATGGGGTGATGGGCTTTCCACTTTTAGGGGGACCGTTATGGGGCCAAGGATATGGAGGTTGTCCAGTATACATAAGCCTTATCCCAGTAACACCCCGTGGCTGACTTGGCACAACTCACTGTCATGACTATGGAAAGGCATTGTGGGAGGGGAAAAGGGGCAACGTTTGCCCCTTTTTCCTCCTCATAATGCCTTTCTACTATTGTGAAAAATCACTCTTGCAGTATTACTAGCGATAAGGTTTATAGTGATGAAAACATTGACTTGATTGTCCTGATGATTGAGTTATTCACTAATGACATGTAATGACACACTTAAAATTTTTCAGACCTAAGTCTCTGAGTGTGTAGGATGACACACATGTCATACGGCATCATTATATAGAATTCGTTCCACCTAATAATTTGAAGACACATGATATGAAGGCAAGGGCCTCAGTGTGTTCTACTATGCTATGGTGTAAATCAGCACAAACATGACAAAAACAACCGAAAACCATTTTAACAAACATGACAAAGGTGACACTAACCATCTAACGTAACGTTACACTTTGCTTTTTTGTCACCTTTCTCAATGCGTATCGTTTGACTAAATCACGTCAGGTTCTTATGCCAAGTACAAATTAGACATTTCTTTTAACCTTAATGCTACCTGATTGAAACCAACACTAAAAAGATAAAATCTGGAAGAACACAAAATTATTTTCTCACCAACAGATTTTACCAAGACCTAGTCGCCATCTTTTGTAGAACGTATTCAACTCACAGGAACATTCTATTATGGGAGAGGTAGTCGAGAATAATCATCTGTACTTTTTACCAATAATTTAGCAGTTAAAGATTTAAAATACATCCTTGGGGTCTATATATACCTAAAAAGAACGTTTTTTCCCAGGTAGGGTGATTTTTGTCTTTAATTGCAGCTTTAATCAGAAATATTTCTGTTACTGTAGACCATAACGTACCCTAATTATAAGTGGATTGTTCGGATAACATGAAAATTTGACCTAGCGAGAGAGGGCGTTATATGAAAATAAATTCACAGGCAGAAGTTTTATGATGAGCAGCCGGCCTACCCAGGCGAGCAAGGCACACCAAGTCTTCAAACGTGTATTGTTTGCCAGGGAGAATAATCAGTCGTAAATTGATTGATTCTGTGAGTGTGACGATGCATGGTAATTTTGATTTTTTGTATGTCGTTAGATCTGTTGTTTCACAGTTAATTAATAAATCAAGATCGAGGCTTCACCGATCGTGATCGCGTGAACCGTCAACAATTTGAAGCACATAAGCGCACATGGCCCTAGTATATGGGGAAGTGAGGGGTGAAGACAAGGAGGGTTTCTGGATGCCGGAGGGGGACTAGGATTACACCTCAGAGTTTGTCAGGGATAGGGAAATTAAGGGCCATTTCTGTAGGTTTTTAGCGTTCTGTTTGAAACCTATCGTTATCATGGGAAAGAGTTCCATAGGGACATCACTTGATATGCCGTGATCTGTATTGGTAACACTAACACTGTGTTTACCCTGCCAAGTCATGTAAAATTGTAAATGTCATGTAAATTTGACATTTACTTTATCACTTCCTGATGGGTGACATTTGGGAAAAATGAGTGATATTCGCATACATGTATGGAACTCTTAGTCAGTGAGCTGCTTTTGCTGGCTACTGTACAATCGTCAAAATTCTGGCTGTCCCATACAGATGACGCCGCAAGGGATTTGGTTGCAACTAAAAGAATTAATTTGTAAAAAGCACTTGTTGGGACAGAACAGCATGAGTCTTAAATAACCAACATGACTAATTATGATCTTGTACTGAACAAATTGGGTAGGCATGGCATGCATGGTAAGGCATTAGGCCTACCAGGCAAATTAATGGATAATGTTGCCGCAGGGACTCCAGGAAGACTCAGACATTAATTTGTACGTGTATGTTTCAAAAATGAATGGATTGGAAATGAATGATGATGTTGGTTCAGTCAGGTCAAATTTAAAGTCCACTATTACAAATGGGCCTGAATTGTGTCAAATAGGTGATTTGAATTTGCGGAATTTTTGTTTTTGATTTTAGCAGGTTTGTCGCCACTCTGTGATTAGATCAGACACCCAGATCACAGAAGATGGCATATCTTGTAGACAGTTGGGATGAAGAAGACATCCAAGAAATCAGGTATATTTACATTATTGATCCTTTTTTCATTCAAACCATAACTATTAAAGCATTTTTCTAAGCATGACAATGGAGAGAAACAAATCAAAACACATGTAGATACCTTGTAGTATTTCATTGACACATAGTCGAATTCGTTTTGTAATTATCGTTCTCTGCAGGAAGCTTTTGAGTAAACCCCTGCCACAAACTGAACATGGTCATCTCAGGAGCGTTCTGAAGAAGATTTTGCGCCAGGTCACCCGTGGTGTGGACATGTCGCCTCTCTTCATGGATATTGTCAAGGTTTGTGTTTTAAGGATCAGACCCAGGTTGGCTCAGTGGAGGTTACTACGCTGTCAGGAGGGAAAGGCTGAAATGGGTCTTAAGAAGCATTGCTTTTCATCCTTTTCTACACTTGTTTATTCATTTTTTGCGCCCTGAAATCTGGAGGTTGAGCCTTCTTTCAACCCCACACGTAGATCTGCTGGTGTTTTCCATGCCAGACTGTTGCTTCAGGGACTATTTTGGAATGCCAATAATTGGAAGCATGCCGGTAAAATTATTTTCATGCTCAACATGTTTGCAGTGGAATGGGCATCTGGAGGTAAGTAGTGTCCATTTAAAAAACATGAATTAAAATAGGAATAAGAGATACTTGGTACATGTAGCTGCCTCAACTTTTGGATTTATACATGTGGCAGGTTTTAAGTTCAAGTCAGGAGAAAGAAATATGGAGAGGGTTTGCCAGTAATGGTCATATTTTGCCCTCACTTGCCCTTGTTGTGTCCCACTATGAAAAACCAGCCATCCAATACAAAAATGTATTGTTTCATTTTCAGCATGGGCAAGTACTGAACAATTTCCAAGTTTATTTACGAGTAATGTTTAACTAGTTTATTCGTTTTTTTGTTTTGTTATTGATTTATTTATTTTTCTGCAGCTCTGTGCTACAGTGGACATTATTGAGAAGAAGTTAGCCTATTTGTACATGACCACCTATGCACACAAGAAACCTGATCTGGCATTGCTTGCTGTCAACACAATACAGAAAGACTGTCGCGATGCAAACCCAATGATCAGGGGATTAGCACTCAAAACGCTTTGCTCTCTACGGTAAGAAGAATTGCATTAGTTATTTGAATGAAGATGATTTGTATAGCTTAGGTCTTGGATTCAGGACTTATGTCAACTTCACTTACATTGATTTTGTGACAAAATTGTACAATTTATGTGAGACTATTTATTTGAAGATGTCACTTATATTACTTTGTGGTTGTGCACGCAGCTGCCTTATAGTGTAAATTCTAACAATGAAATCTGAAAACATGAGATGCCATTCCACTTGGAGCATATTTTTTTACGGCATGGTGCATTCCTTTCTGTAAGCCAGAGGGCAATTTGTAAGACTGAATAGGCTGTCGTAGACGTTATTGCCATCCAAATTGATTTTCCTACATTCAAAATTGCTAGTTGTTGCAATAAGTTTACTTTGAGTTGAATATGTCAAGACAGCAAGTCTTTGTAGTGATTGCACTGTGGAATTCCTCAGACTTCCTGAGCTGATTGAGTACACCAGACAGCCCTTATTGGCTGGGCTTCAGGATAGGAGTGCTTACGTCAGGAGAGTGGCAGTCTTGGGCTGTGTGAAGATCCACCACATCAACCCGCAGTTTACAGAAGGTAAGCGACTTTTTTCACCAAAGCATGATTTCTTGACCTGGTTAATACTCATTCAGTTTTCTCATCCACTGCTGTACATGTAGTCTAGTCCATCACAAGTCATTCAGTCTTAAGCCAATTCACAAGCCATTCAACTGAGCTGTGACATAAGCGTTCTTTTGTCATTGTTCACCCTGTTACTTATGACCGGCCTCGTGAAGGGACTTGTGACTAGACTTTGAGGAGGCATGTAAAAGGGCGTGCGATGGACTCAACTACAACACCGTCCACCTCACAAAAAACTTTGTCCAAGCCGTAGAGATAGCTTCAATAGCTTCACGCATCTCTCCTCGTGATGTCCAAGGGCCAACCTTATCTTTGCTGACTTGTCTGTAGATGTTGACTAGTCACTTTGGAGTTTCGGAAATAGAGGGCTTATAATTTTAACCAGATTTCAATATTTTGGACAGTCTTTAAGTTTTCCAAAAGTCCCTGAAATTTCAGACTTTATGCTGAGAAGGGGGCACAAGTGATGGGGATAATTTGAATTTTTTTTGATCTGATACTCCAAACTTTTGTTGTTCTCTCTTCTTTTGCGGAAGAGTAAAAGATGATTCTCTTTCCCATGTTCAGTGTCTGTGGATTTTTAAATGGAACCATTCCAGAACATTCAAGACAGAATTCGAACTTCACGTTTTTGTCAAAGTACTTAGCTTTTTTTCCCTTTTTTCCCTTGTAGATCATGGTGTCGTCAACACGCTGTATGAGATGCTTAGAGATGGTGATGTTATAGTTGTCACCAACTGTCTGTTAGCTCTGGAAGAGTTACTGCAGCAGGAAGGAGGGATGGCCATCAACCAGAGAATAGCACACTATCTGGTCAACAGGTCTGGACATGCGCAACCCTTGAGGAACTTTGCTTGCTTCACCTCTTGAAAGTCGATATGATTAAAAACTGTTTCGGATGTGAAGTCCGTGGGGCTCAAACTAACCATGAAGTGTAGACTTTTTCAATAAGATGCCATTACAGCAGTGGCATATCACACTCACGGACACATTTGACAAATGAGTATTTGTCAATTACTGTTCAATTTTGTCTGGTGCCCAGGATATATATATTTGTGCACGTTACCAGGGAAAAGTGGCCAGTGTTATTATTATTATTATTAGTATATATTTCTGGTAATGACACCAAGGATTCCTCAAACGCGCCCTAGGCACTGTAGCTCACAAGCCTGAAGAAACCTGTAGAGAGGAGACAATGAGAAGCAGTTACAGTTTTAGAGGTGGGAGGAAAACCCCAGAGGAATATTCTGGGTAAAACCCTTGGAATCAGGTAATGTTAAAAACCCAATCCACATGTGGACAAGGCTGGGATTCGAACCCGGGCCGCAGAAGTGGAAGGCGAGGAAAGAACCACTACGCCAACCTGACTCGACGTGTTCAACATTCTTTGCTGCTCAAACCTGCCCCTGTTGGTTGATGAGGCAGGTAACACACTCACACCACCTGTCCGTGAGCATTGTGCCACTGCAGTGGTGGCTTCTTATTCTGGTTGACTAATTCACCAGTAGACCACATTTGCAGGGTAACCAATTTCAGTCAGATTCCCGAACATAGCATATTCATTTGAAAACATTGAATTGAAAGAACCAGACTCTTTCCAACAATTTCATTCCGACCTCCAAATTACCTGGTACCATCCCATTAAGGGTTTCAATTGTATACAGTACGTTCAGGAATATGACTGAATTGGGTACCCCGCAAATAAGGTCTATCCTGTTTATGTTGTGTTTTTTGTTCAAGGTACATAACATCAGAAAAGATATTGCATAATTTTGAGAGATTGGTTTACTGTAGTGCCAAGCTGCTGTGACTTTCAATGTCACTCTGTTCAGCTTTGATTTGTCAGTATTGCATGATTTACGTGGTCCTCATTCGCAGATTGTCCGAGTTCACCGAGTGGGGTCAGTGCTGCGTCTTGCCGTTGCTCTTGAAGTACAGACCACAAACTGAGGAAGAAATGTTTGACGTGATGGTAAGCTCATCACTGGGTCATTTGCCATGGCAATAAATACGGGGAAGCTCACTTGTTATGTGCATCCAAATGTCTGACAAAGGTTGGAAATGCACGCACTAGTGTGTGATGCTATTGGCAATGGAGAGATGAATGTGTAGTTGCTGAGATGTGCAAGGGGGAGGCTTAATAAATCGATCCGTCTGTAAAGCTTGTCAAAATGATCAACCTCTCCCTGCTAGTAGTGAAATAGTTTTTCTCGTTTATAATCTGCAGATGGTTAGGGTAGGCTTCTGGGTGAGCTGACACAGAATTGAAAAGTAAAGAGACACGTTAACCCCAAATCATGATTTTTTTTCAGATTTCTGCTTTTTGGCAAAATCATCCAGGCTATGCAATGCCTCCATTTTGGTGTGATCATTTTTTTTAACCAAATCTACTAAAATCAGCCAAATCATGATGATCTACCTGGGGAAAAATTTAGCTGTGCTGTATTTTGCATTTTCATAAAGAGGCAACTTTGTCTACCATAGATATAGCGTTAGCAATAGGTGCAAAACCATGGGTAAACCGTTTTCAGAAAGAGGTAAATTTGACTCTGGAAATGTGTAGAAATATAACAATTTTGTACCTGACATACGCCATGGCAAAATAGCACAGCTTTTCATGAAGAGACCAAAGTCAGAGGAATTCGAGCATTTTCACGTGTAGACAAACGTGTCCGTTTACGAGATAACCAATTATAATTGACTTCTATGAATATCATTTGGTAGTTTGGTGTCATTTAAAATCCCCTCCTTCATGCAGTACCATTGGTTAAGTCAGAGACATCCTAAATGCTGGGGAAATAAGCATTTAATAATAAAAGACCATTTTCAAATGCAGTTTTCTCAAAATCTAGGTTTTACTCTCCAGTGAGAAATTTACCTCTTCGTGAAAATGGTGATGATAATTTGCTTGGCTGTTGTAACCCCAAGTGGCCTTAGGGAGAGTGTTCTGTAGCCTGATGTCAGTTGGAAATGTAGGATTTGAGATGCTGCCTTTAACCCCTTTGCTACGGAGGACTACTACTACTGCACCGTTGTGTGAGGATTAGTGCATACCACACATACAGTCTATTCACCATGCAGCTGCTGGTTCAGTGGGGCCTGCTGCTGGCCAGAGCCCTCCATTCAGGGCATACCACAGCCCAGCAGTTGCTGTCAAAATAATCCCGCCGCCGTGAAGGGGTTAATTAGCAGCACTGTTGTTGCATGGTGTACTCAAAAGTACATGTATGACCGAGTGTTTTCACTGTCATGCAGAATGTTATAGACGTCTTTTTGAAGCATACTAATTCTGGGGTGTGCATGGCCGCTGTACGCTTGATGCTGCACCTTGCACGAGACTTGCCGGACATCAGTCAAGATGTTTATAAGCGATTGAAAGGTATGGAAAGTTAGCTTTAGGTGTGTAAAATGCACGTTACTTTCTTAACTTTGTCTTTGTATATTAATTTTAAGAAAGGAACAATTTGTGAAAGGAATTAAAACTGATTGAAATTAAAAAAATCTTGTAGGGTTTTTACAGTTTGTTTTCGTACATTTGGATGCATTTGTGAAGTGGTGTGTGGTTTTGTGTCCTACCAGTGCTTGTGTCCCTAAGCAAGAAACTTGATCACAATTGGTTCTCTCCCTCAAGGTACATCAGTAGGCACAGGTACCTGTGAAGATAGAGAACAGATTTCAAACTACTGGATCACTTATCTTGTGGTGTAATAAGACGTTATCACTGGAAAGTGCTTGACATATTAGGGGATATTTGTCTCTGAGTATCACACTGCTACTGTTTGTTTGATAATTTTCTTACTGGTAGGCCCTCTTGTGAACCTTCTGAGCAGTGACAGGCCTGAATTGGTGTATGCATCACTATGCCATTTGGAATGGCTGAATGGCAGGGCACCAGGGAAACTGAGCAAACACTACAAGAAATTCTTCTGCAGGTCAGACAGATGGATATATTCTGGCCTTTGAAGCTATTAAATTTAAACTCTCTCACCTTCACACAGAATTCCATTTTTGAGATTATTAGAAACTGACGACACCTGATGGAAATAATTGTGTATCTTTTCAGATACAATGACCCGGGCTATGTCAAGTTCAAGAAAGTGAAGTTGCTGGCAACACTTTGCACAGAGGAGTCACTGAAAGACATTGTGGAAGAACTTAGGTGAGCTGAAAAGATCGTGGTTTGAAGTTTCATGGGAAAAGATAGTGAGCACTTGTGTAGTTTTCTAATTTGAGATATGAGAATGATCACTTTAAGAAACGTTAATCAAGAGATTATATTAGGATTGAGCCATCCTTGATGATATTTTTCATGAGAACAAGAAACCTCCCTCTGATTGTACGAGGCTCTATAGCGGAAGCTTTTCTCTTCTCTGTAATTCAGTGTGTATGCAACAGACATCTCAGTCCAGCTATCTCAGCTCGCTATCAGTTCTCTAGGGCGACTTGCCAAGATGAATCCAGCCTTTGCCTTGCCTTGCGTTGAAGCCCTCTCAAGTCTCCTTTCCTTGCATCTGGACTCAGTCTCCTCCCAGATATTGGTGGTTTTCCAGGGTATGTTCTTAGTGTCAGTGTCATTGGTGAAAGTATGCTTGAAGCTGGAACGCCATCAGCTGAGGAAATGGCCTGTGTCCCCAAACAGAATAGGACCCATTTTCTCCAAGCTGCTTAGTGGACAATCTTGCTTATACAAAACTTAGCAGAGTACCAGTCGCAAGCAATCGACTTACCATGGCTCTCAACTGGTAACTTGTTTTGGCTAAGCAAATAGTTTCTGCACTTAGCAAATTTCAAAGGGGCATCTTTATAAAAATATTCCAATCATTTTGAAAGGTTGCCTTATTATGAAAGTCTTGCAAAGTTATGACTAGTTAGGGACTGACGTTACTTAGCCGGGATGAATATAAGGTCATTCTAACTTTGAAACATATTTTGATTTGCAGATATTCTGAGCTACGAGCATTTGAGGGACCACATCCCAGGTCTGGTGGAGAGGTTGCCGGCTTGTGAGCATGTCATACAGGAACCAAGGGGGAAAGCAGCTCTGGTCTGGTTGCTTACGCAGCATGGCCAGGTGGGTTGAACGTGCGCAACTTGCAATGATGAATGATCCATCCGCCATGGCATTTAACGTGATATTCAACTGAGCCTGAAAACACTAGTTCATAGTCATAGAAATTAGAAATAGATTTCATTATCACATTGCTGTGTGAAGTCCTTGCCAAACATCAGTGTCATTGGCACTGTGAATTTGTACACATTAAGTTGAAAATAATTGAAACATGCTTTGTGGTATTCTTGAATACAAACTCTCCTCACATGTGATGTGTCCTCTCCTGTCACGCGTACACTAAACAGTGCCATCTACAGTTCACAATTTATAAAGAGGTAGCAATAGGTGAGCACACTGCATGAGATAAGCATTCTCAACATCTGGCTTAATATTAACAACTGACTGGCTTCCAGAAAATAATAGCAAACTCACAGTTATCAAATAGTGGAATGGAATAGATCAATTTGTTGACATTCGAATGAAAATTTGGATAAAGTGGCAGTTTGATAAATTATAGTCAGTACATGCCACAAGTGACAACCAACAAATCTGTAAGGTCTGGATGGACTTATCAGAGTAAAACCCAATATTTCAACCACTTTTTATGTTTGAGTTGGCCAACATTTTTTTTATCATAGAACCTCTCTGATGCTCCATATCTTCTGGAGAGCATGATCGACTCCCTGGAGGAAGAACCCAGCACGCTGGTCAAACTCAGCCTCCTCACGGCCACCACCAAGCTCTTCTTTGCTAGGCCAGCCGAGTGCCAAGACATGCTGGGTAAAGTCCTGGAACACTGCATCGGTAAGAAACAAACAACAAAGGCTCTTGTAATTTGCACAAAATTTCACTTGTGAAAAAGTGCCCGACCGACTGGGCAGAGCATGGAAATGAGGTGATCTCGGAAGAGTGTTATGGGCCTACTGAGGGACAGTGATAACAGTGTAATACACTTTGACCTTTATTGGTAGTGCCATGTCATTCCCCATTGGTATTATTTTGTTCAGAAATATCTAAGAATTTCATTGGTTCACATTATGAGTTCTTGACGTTAAGATTATGAAAAGAAAACTTTCTGTTTTATCATCATGGTAACCATTTTATTTAAAATTTCCTCAGAAGCAAGTGAGGATCCTGATCTCCAAGAGAAAGCACAAACCTACTACAGACTCCTGAGCAAAGATGTACAGAAGGTAGTGACTCCACAAGTGTGAAGTTAAATTTGCTTTTGTTTACTGATCACTTAGCTGAATCCAGAAAGACAAATGACATCATACCGTTGTCGATTTCTCAAAGCCCTTGAACTCCACAGTTACTGGAACACAAAAATATTACTACCAACTTTATTAGTGAATTGTAATTGCTACCTTGAAAGCAATCATTTCCTGTCTTGTTGTCACTTTGCCTGTTTGTTGGTGCATCAAGATGTGACGAATTTACCAGAATATACAAACTGTGTCCAGAATCTCGAATGTACATCGATGAGCAAACTTGTCTTCTTTCTTTTAGGCCAAAGACATCATCTGCACATCTCAACCACAGCTTCCAGTACCTTCTGCTTTCCAGGCAGCAGTCTCGGTGCTGTCAGATCTCAAGCATTTCAACTCCATGTCTTTACTTTTTGGTAAGAAGCATACCAGTGGACTGCCCTGAGACTCAAAGATAAATAAAAGTAAAATTGCAAGAATAAATTTCATAAGTACGACTATTCGGATGTCAGCTTCATTGGTTCTGTTAGAATGAACACTCATTGAGACTTTGACGGTCAACTTGCTTTGATGACGCAAGACAACTATGGCAGCAGTAAACGCAAATCAGAAAGTTGAATGACATTATCGGTAAATTATTTTGTTGCCTGGATTTGAAGAATTTTTTTTATTCCTGCAGGTGCAGACAAATGGCAAGAAATTCAGCAATTGAAACTCGATGGAGAAGCTGACGATTACTCGGAATCAGAAGCATCGATCGCTGCACCCAAACCTACCGAAGAGAGTACAGCATCGGTGCCTGAGACAGGCCAACTGCTGGACCTGGATGGGGTCACAACTGAGGTCTCGCCAGACGTGACCTCTGAAGTCGTACCTGAAGTCAAGTTCATTCCAGCCGTCAGCTTGTCACCTGGGGAATTTGAAGGGAAGTGGACAACATGGCAGAGCAGGTAATCGTTTTACAATAATGCCAACTTAAATTATGCTATAAGAACATTCATTTCAGCATGGAACTCATACATTGCAAATTTGTAGAGTTTGAATATTGTTCTGTCATTTTTTAATACCTGGGCAAAATGTACTTCATGTGCTTTTGCTGTTCTTGATCCGTTTTTAGTGAAGCCCGAGAACTACCGCTCTTGGAGTCAATATCACCGACAGATATCCACACTCGCCTGGAAGCGCTGGGCTGCAAAATCATGGCAACGACCCCGGAAGACTCCGATCCCTGGAGGGCATTCCTGTATGCACAGGTAGGAGGTCAGAGTTCATTAAGGGGCCAACATGAACGTGAACAGTTGGTTAACCAGACGTACTTCACAATTGTGAAAAAAGTCTCCAAGCTTTAAGCTGTAGTCAAGATGTTATCAGTGTCAATGTAGTCTATGATGCTGTCACTCCAAAGTAGGCTAGTTCTTAGAAGCTGTCAAAATTTGCAATGTCCTATAATCTTTCGTTATTCCCTAATTCACGCACTGGACCGTGAATAAAGTATTTTGAGTTCCGCAATCCCTAATCTATTGCATAACCTGCAAGAAAAACGAATGAGACGAGGCAGGTGCTTACAAGCCTCACTAGGTGATAAGCATGATCCCCATAGAACCCTCCATCCCAACAGTACCACAGTGTCTGATACCGGTCAAGAAATCCATTCCTTTCCGCTACTTTGGAGTTGGTGGACTAGACAGAGTCTTGGATACCTGAGTACATACATCCATTCCTCAATTTCTCTGTCCTCCCACTTGACCAATACTTGCCAGATTCCAACTTTGCACCTCCATCGTCTTGCGTGCTGAATGAGGTCAGTGCTTGCTTCAACACTTTCCCGCTTCAGTGCACTGCTGTCCTTCCTGCAAAACATTCTCATGCAAATCAGTTAGCTCAGCTATATGTAGCAATTGAAAAGATATTTTTCTTGTGTTTTCCAGTCACCTGTTAGTATGTTCTTTGAATTTGTGCTTTGCCACACCTACCTGCCAGTCGTCTATTGATACCACAAATCTGTGCACCCATGTTACCTGTATACTTGCAGAAGTCTTATTCACTTCTCTTCATGTTTTATTGTAGGAGGCTACCAGTGGTCAGCTTTACCTTATAGAAGTCAACCTCTGTCAAGACACTGACCTCCTGACTTTTGAGATCAAGTGTGGAGAAGGCCAACAGTGCATAGTACCTTTGGTAATGGAAGTACTTCTTGATGCAGTCTCGTAAAGGTACTGCACTTTCAGTGAATAGTCTGGTAGGAAAAGTGCAATATTACTGTAAAGTCGAACTTGCAGAGTCGTATATGATCATCATCTGGCATTACCTGAAACTCAGTGATGGCAGCCTTACCGTGTGTGCAGCACTGAACTGTGTTATAACCACCATTGTGAACTGGACCCCGCTAACTCAAGACGTATGGGTTTCAGTCTCTGATTGGTGCCCAAGGACAAAGGAACTGACCAATCAAAAGGCTGCCAGGTGAAGGCTGGACAGCTCAGTTGGTTGAGCAGTCGCATTACATTTCAGAGGTTATTGGTTCGAATCCTGGGGTCGCTTTTTGCTCAGTTGAAATGAAAAGTTGACTGAAACGTGAACCGTATCCTTAGTGTTTAAATGATCTATAAATTCTATTGTCTTCATTTAGTCGCTTACAGTTTATATGGTAACATTGGATATTCACATATCTGTTAACAAAATTTAGGTTTTATGTAGGATCTTTATTTTCCATAAATACTGGTAAAGTGAGCTTACAAAACCTGTTAAGAATTAAATAATTTACATAAACAACATTGCTGTGCTGTGTGTCAATAAATATGCACATTTTTTACAAGTCCTTTAAAAAAATGAAAAGCAGCAGTAGTTAAGCTTACCTAATAAAAAAAAGTTAAAGTGATCTACCCAAAGGATTAAGAAAATGACACTTTGTTCAATTATTGATAAGAACCAGCTCTTTGGATTAGAGCTACTCAGCACATGACCGTGCACCGCAACTAACCAGAAAATCTAATGCAACAACTGCAACACAACATGTACACCTTGTTTGGCCATGAGAGGCCAGAATGAAACTTTAAAAATGCTTCGCAAGTAATGCTGAACTGCCCTGCTGGAGGCACACTCCACATAAATCGGAACATTTACTTAGTACACGGTATCACAAATGCTGTCATGACAATAATGCTGATGTGACACGAAGCTGAAGTAAAAGAGCAGATTGAAGAGTAACCTTCCACATTATCAGAAGTACAGCAGCCTTCTTCCAAATTTGTTTTTATTGCTAAGCAGAGCAACATGTGCTACCTGGAATTATTCTTTCTCCGTACAAAAACAACCTTGCTCTAAGGTTGTATGTGACACAGATAGTATGCTGCAACCGGAGTGACAGAATACCAACAGAATCATGCCTTGTAATATTTAACAAATATTTAATACACGTTAAAAAGAATATCTATGCACTAGTATCATATACACGTACAAAATTATTTTTCACATTAGTCATAGATATACTTTGCAAACCGATATTGTACTTTCAAAGAGTATTTATGTGAAGTTTGTTTTTTCTTTTTCAAAAATCTGATAATAACCTGCAACCAAATTCAGTAAGATAGGGGTGATCCTGGAACCGATGTGATCTAGCACTGGTATAATTATCAGTACACCTTTTGCAGTGCAGTTTCAGTGACAACTATGATTTAAATGTTAAAAGCCTCTGGGCAAGTGAATATGTTTTCAACAATTCAGAAACTGTAGTCAACAACTGTACGGAATATGGGCTTATTGATCGTACTATTTGACAGCAAAGTGACCACTACGGTACATACTTGTACATGTAGTAGTTCCTTTGGGAGCAAAATCTTTCTCTTTTAAATATGCTTATTGGAAACATAATGTTTTGAGAGCTCCCTTGTACGACTAAAAATAAATGCATTGATTTGGAAAAGTATTTCAACAGCATATGGCTAGTCACGGATTTTTGTGAATAGAAAAAATGTGGGGTTTAATCCAGGGCAGCATGAACAGTCTGAAATGTTATTGGTCAGGCCATTACCTTCTCTTAGTCAAACCATCTTCCCCCCCCCCCGTGTTTCTTTATTATTGCAAGGTCCTGAAGCTGAAATAGAGGCTACATGCCAAAGATACAAAGGTCTTGATCACACCTAGTAAGCCGGTCTTGAATCTCTTTCCAGTACAGTGATATTGAATTCCATCCATAAGTACATGTAACATTACTGCAAAATTGTCTAATAGTGAAATACATTAAAATGGGCTGTTTTTACGGTAGGCATCTGAAAGTTTATTCCTAAAATATCCTTTAAGAAAGCATTAAATCTTGACCACAGCAGTGGTTTTAGAAAAGTAAAAAGCCAAAGAATACCCAAAACTTAACTCTTAAAAGAGAAAATTCAAAAACTAAGCTTAAAATATTTTTTTGGGAACCTGCAGTTTGTATGGTTTAACTCTGCACAATATAACAGTTCAGTTATTTGCCATGTACAGTTTTCAACATATTTACATTTGTATTGTGTAAATTAGATGTATAAAAGCACCATCAAAGCCACATAATACATAAATATCAATTTTACACATTCCTCTACCTATTCATATTTAAAATGGAGTATCTGAGTTTTATGGCTCCTACAAGAGCTCAGAGATCTTTGAATTCCAAAGCTGTCTTTATTAAGTATTGACATTTATCACAAAAAGATAATACTGTCCGTACAAACATCATATAAATATTAATTTGGAAATGGTTATATCATACACAGAAAAAAAGTGGCACAAGGCTACCATGCTGATGCAGTCAAATACCTCTGGTGAAAACTTGTGAGAAAACAAAAAAATCAAAGAAAACAACACCGTTATGTCAGTTTTATACACAATTGGTACACTCTGAACATATGCAGAAGAATATATGGAGCCCTTATATTCATGTTAGCACGAGAGATTATCCAATCCACTTGCTTGAAAGCGTATTATACTTTACCAAACATGGAGTTCCTGCAAAGCTACCTAAAAAGGGACTTGACCTGACAAGGGCAAATGCCTCACTTTGCTTCTTAGAGTAGGCGCTTCATCCAAAGAAGAAGTTCATTAGCCTTTAAAAACAAAGTGAATGTGACCGCTCGTACGAGTGAAGACGATGGTTGTCGTAGATTCCGAAATAACAGGTTTTCAATTCCAGTTCAGTTTTGTAGATCCAACAGCATTGTCATTCCCTGGTTTCTGATTAGGCAATCCTCCCTTCTGCAGCATCCTCAAGACTCGCAGATTTTCTTTGATGAAGCAGAAAGTTGGACAACGCTCCGTAATGGATACTGCCACAGGACTCCTCATAAGTCATCTGCTTGGAGTAGGTTCTCCCATAGAGTGACAAGGTGTGCACTGATATCACTCAGTCTCTGCTAAACAATATTTCATATCTCCATTGACTAATTTTTCCAACACTGTTTAAATTGTTGACAATTGTTGACAGAGTGGCTCGGAAGTGATACTTCCTTCCAGTCAATTCAACTCTTCTAAATTTGATTTGGTGATGAGTAGTTTCAATCTGCAGTGAGATCCGGCTGCTGGCAAGAAAGTTGCCAGAAGTTAAGAGACTTGGGAAGTTACCATGCAGGTCTCTGCAAATGTACCTTGTTGGATCTTCCACTCTGAAGTGCATGTTAAATGTTAGCCCTTGTGTGCATCTTATCAGCCGAGTCAAAAATTCAACAAGGCATTTCCATTTAGGATATAATACCTGACATCACACCAGCTTCAGCACTAGCATTGGATCGTGCTGATAATGCCAATCTTGTGCATGCATACTGATGATCCACAGTGACTCACAACACACTTCATTTTGACCATGTGCTTTCAGACACCGAAATGGCTCACTGGTGCTGTGGCTGTGAATATCTTATACAAACTCCATGGTCCTGGAAAGCTTCATGTTGGAAAATTGTCCATTCAAGAGACATCCTCAGTCATGTTCACATGGTCCTCAACAAAACAGCATTGACAACAGATTTCCACTGGTCTCAGATAAACCATTTTTTGTAAGTCATTGTTTTCTGTTTGTGTTTTGTTACAAGTCTAATCGGGAGGCAGCTGGCGTTTTCGTCGGCGAATGACCTTACAGTCCCCAGTGTCAATACGACATCGGTCCGTGCATCGTAATGCACCCATTGTCTCATACCTGTGTTTAGAAAGTCAAACAACGAATACTAAATTTACAAATTTGGTTACAGCATTTTGGAACATTTAAAAGAAAAATTATAAAGCACTATCAGTAAGTATTTTGTGAAGGTCTTCAATGGAAGTCTGGTTCTTGGGTTAGTATACTGGATATGAGATTGAATGGCTAGTTTTACTTGAGGTAGTGGTCTTAGATGTCACAAATTAACAGCTAGGTCAGACTTACTCCGAGAAGAAGTTATCACATGTTTTCCCATTAAAGTTAAAAGTGTCACATTCCTCAACCCCTTCTTGTCTGTAGCCATCTCCACAATAAGATCTTCGGCAGTCTGAAGTAAAAAAAAAAACACAACAATGGTTTGTCAGTCTGAGACCATGGCTTGTCACACTAACCCGAGTTCTGTCTTTCTGAGTCTGTGGTTGGTTGGACTAAAGACCATAGTTTGCCAGCCTGAGGCTGTGTCCCAATTGGACACCGTTATCTTTGGCTATGGTTATTCACCATGGCATGTTGATTGCAACAATATACCGAATTTTCACACAGCCTTGAGTCTCACACCGTAGCTTTTCAATTTTTGATACTATGATTTTTTGGACTAAGCATCGTATAGGTGCTAGTTCAATCTGAAAACGTGACAACAGAAACCTCTCTGTCTTTAGAAATAGAACCCGTTGGCCTATCATAAAACGTTTTCTCTGTGTCCCCACAAAAATGTGGTCTTATTTCATATGGTTGACATTACTCAGTTTGGCCAAATCAACTAAATTTTTTTCCGGGCTTCAACAGACTATAGTGTACTTACATATGCAACTGTCTGTTTCTATATCATTTCCATCATCGCATTGCTCCCTTCCTTCAATCATAGAATTGCCACAAATCTGTAGCATTTGAAAAGAAAACAATCATTCAGTACAGTCCTTGACATTTGTTATTGGCAATAAATGTTACATTAATATCTCTACAGCACTGCGGTCAAGCTTTGTCATGTCTGTCACAAGTCATCCAGTCTCAGAGTCAGACAAAGACAGAGGTATTCTTGGTCATAGTCCATCCCTGATGAAGTGAGATATGACTTGTAACTGAGTTGCCTACACCTGTGTAAAGATTGTATAGAATGTGGCAGTGTTGTGAATGAGACCAGACACAAGACCAGTCACAAGTTACAGAGTGAACAATGACAAAGGAATGTCTTTGTTGCAGTTCACTTGGAAAGCGCATGATGAATTCAGACTGAAGGTCTAGTGTTGGTCCTTTGATTGTCTTGTAATTGTCTTAAGATGTCTCAATTCCATCACCGGTGTGAGGGCTGCTGTGTTAAGTTTGCATGGTCTTACCTCTTGGTCACCATTGTATTCACCATAATCCCCCTTATCCCCCTTGGGTCCCTGCAGCCCTGGGGGACCCATGTCCCCCTGGGGGCCAGGAGGCCCTGGAGGTCCGGTGATGACCTTCATGGAGCCCTCCGTCATGAGGCAGTTCCAGTTATCTGTGTCACGGAAGTAGAGTTTCTTGTCATCCATGCGGTAGACCAGGGCCGCTTCGGCTCGGATGGAGCGCATGGCGATCTCATTGGGGACAATGATGATTTGCTGGTAGGATGAAGTAAGAAAAATGACGATAAGTTGGTGCGAGAACTGTTTAATGCTTAACTGTTTATGTGCCATTTGGTAATGAGGAAAGGGAAAATGGGTAATGTATCTGGCACTACACATACGTAACACTTTGACATTTTTGGGTTAAGAGTTCTATATTTTCTTTATTTCAAAATTTATTAGATTTATGCCATATTTACAATATAATTCCCAGTTCAGTCTAGTCTGGGAGCAACTTTAAAGAGCGTGATCCTCAAATGTTAAGTCTTTCTGCCGTTCCGAAAAAATGGTAATGTATCTGGCTATGAAATTGGCGACATATGCTCTGAAGGCGATAAGGACAAATAAATAAGCTAATCTTTCCCAATTTGTTATTTTATATTTAGGGCATATTATGGGCTAATGATAAAATAGGGTAATCACTGGTATGCACACATGACGGACAAACAGGAGAGTATTCATGAAAAGCACTTTGGCTGGTGACACGAGAAAACCGCAATAAATATCACTTTAATGCCGTCATTTCTTAGAATTTTCTTGATTTTTAGACCTCCTTACCACATGGGTTTCTGAAACAAAACTCAGCCACGAAAAAAATTCACATAAAGCATTATCAAACACACTCAATACTTCTAAAAAACACGAACGACACAACTATGACACATTAGAACGCTTGAAGGGAGAATGCACCCAATGTAATTCATTGTAAATCTGTGTAATTCAGCTTTCAAGCTGCTACACCGTGATGATAATAAACCATTAACCCAGACATTAACCTTACCTTGGCATGCTTTTACCATTCTCCAATACTGTGTTGCCATAGTGTACTACAATGATGCACATTTTGCTTAGGGAATCCACAGCTTATTTTTACCTTTTTTCACAAGCGCCACACAGGGCATACCTGGTAAATAGCAATTACAGGCGTTGATACGTTCTAATTGCATGGGTGACTAGTCCAGACATTGCTCCTTTATCCTTAAATCTACATACCATTTACATGCATAAGCTCCACAAGAGATCATTTAATATTTAATTATCTTAACCTTCATGACATTTAGTGTCTTTAATTCAAGTCAACTAAGGATAGTTACCCAAGCACCCCTAAACTATAAACATTGACTTACCCCTTCCATGACCCTGTTTTCAGGATCTCCTTTCTCTCCCTTAGGCCCTTGTGGGCCCGGCAATCCTGGGCTCCCTGGAGGCCCAGGCTGGCCTGCTGGACCAACTGGCCCCCTTGGCCCAACTGGTCCCTCTCTGCCATCTGAAGTTTAGAAAGTCAGAGTGGTGCCCCATTCAACCACAAGTCAATTGCAAGCCAAACTTAATGGATAAGTCAGTCATAACTTAAATCACAAGACAATCCATAAGTCAAATCACAAGGCAATCACAAGATAATCCTAAGTCAAAACACAAGTCAAATCTGTGACAGTCCTAAGCCAGTCACTAGAAAAAAAGAAGTTGATTAGGAGTCAAAAATAGACACGCAAGCACTTACCAATACCAGGAGGTCCCATGGGTCCAGGCAAGCCGACATGGCCTGGCAAGCCTTGTGGGCCTTCCGGCCCCACGGGGCCAGGCTCACCAGTATCACCCTGGAACCAAGAAAGAGAGATCACCAGGTATATGACTGAAATGTTCTGTAGACCAAGACTTATAAACAATGCATGTAAGACAGTCGCAGCCTTGATGGGTAGTGGTGATGTGCATCCCATGCATCTTTGCATGGGTGGGATAACAATATATCATCTATCAAATACACAGTATGGAATTTGTTGGGGAGAATCACCTTTTTTCCCTTTTTGCCATTCTTTCCTCTGGCACCTTTCTGTCCAGTTGGTCCCCGAGGTCCAGGCAAACCAAAGGAGCCCTGCATATACAGACCAAAGACAGTGAAATGGCAATGAGTTGGGGGGGGGGGCTGACCCCTACTTCTCCATTGTCAAAATACTTGTTTTTCTGTCATTTAAACCAATTTTATGAAAATCGAACATCTCATTCTTCCAAATGTTTGTTGTTCTCATTGAGGACATAAGCAAAAAATGACTGGTTTCCTACTGACATATGCTTGATGCATTGGCTTAAGTGAATCAAGAGCATGAACTATGCATGGTCATTACAACAAGATGCTGCGAGGGATTGAACTGAAAATTTGCAGATGTGCTCGTAATAGATGTGTTGACAGGCAAACATTTATTAAAAGATTGGTCATGGGAGAGCTGAGATCTGAAGTGAAAGTTGGAATCTGACTTTCCCTGGTAGTGAGAAGGTGCCCCCCAAAAAATCTAGCTCTTTATACTGAAAATCATTTGATTGCACCAGATTATATGCCTAGACTGGATGTTAGGGATACGAACTTGTGCTAAAAGCAGGCGCACAAAAGAGAATAGATATGTGAATCCTACTATTTGGTCCTCCCTGAGGCACCCACCCGGACGGATTTGAGATTCTTGCCTCACCTTTGGCCCCGCTAGTCCCCGGGGTCCAGCCGGTCCCCTCTCTCCCGGTGGTCCACGTTCCCCTTTTAACCCCTGTCAACAGCAGAAACAGATGTATAGGCTAAGGATGCTTGTCTGCAGCTATCTGGACAGACCTAGAAACCTAGACATAGACTGTGAGGGACAAGCATGAATTTTCCCCTCCATCCTGCAAGCAAAGTGCCCTGTTGCTGTCACGCTCCCTCCCCTTCTTCGCTACATCACCAGATCCACCCCTTGATTGGATATTGACAGATTCTTTCTTTTTGGAGACTTACCCAAAGGGATCTGAAGGGGGGAGGGAATGACCCCTTTCTGCCTTTATAAAAAAAAATTACAAAAAAAGACATGAACAACAAAAATCCTTTGGAATGTAAAAACCAAACTAAACCAAGCATATCCTTCCTCCATGGTCCATGGAGGACTTGCGTCTGGTTATTGAACTTGCATTTGCCTGGCAGGCTTGTAAGGTAAAGTTCTCTTCAAAGCTTTTTGTCCTGAAGTATGCTATATGTACATGGGGCTTGGATAAAAAGAGAACACAGGTTTCAGATCAAAATTTTAATGTCTTTCTTTCACAAAAAAATGACCCATATACTTTGAAATGATTGTTGCTCAAAATGTTGATGTTATACCCATAGGTAAAACCGTCAACTGCCTCATGACGGTTGGGTAAATTCTTCAGAGAATGGATTAAATTTTACTCACATTAACCAAATCAAGGTGGAACTTGATATCAGTAACATGTACAAATCAAAGCCTGACACTTTTAACCAACTTTCCTTTTCGAAAGCCGGTAAATATCCATTGAGGTAGTCTCTGCACCAGCTCAGATTCATATTGCAGGCCAGTAAAAGTGCCAAACATTGTGCTGACCAAGTAATGATTTCCATGATGCTTCATGGTCTCAGCTATTGGAGCATTTTGTGGCACTTGGACCGGATGGTTTGTGAAAAAGGAAGAGCGGAAGTTACCAGTAGTCACCTTGTATTTATTTTGAAAACCTGGATAAAACAGGGACTTCCAAATTTCTCTTATTTCACAGTGGAGATTCGCATCAAGTTTTAAAATGGGGGTGCGCTTCACAAGTGACAAAAGAGATGATCATCTTTGGGAGAGAAATATCTTCAAAGGGTATGGTTAACTCGCTAAAAACTTAAAAGAAATGAAATACGAAGGAATTAGCTTTGATTTGATGTGTGTCTTCAAACCTGAAGCACCTGTATTTTTCCTGATTTAGCGTGTGGGTATTTATTGCTGTTGTGTATGGCAGCTTGTTTGCTGGTCTGCAACCTTAAGCTGAGTCATGTAAAACATGAACACCTCGGGAGTTGGGATTGCTATCTACAGTCTGCTTGTCTGCACTAGACTTCTCCCTCCGGTGATCATCTCATGTCTCTGCCAAAGGGTATGGGCCATTACTCCAGCAAAATGTCCGAGGGGCCCCCACACTGACAGATGGGATAGCAGGCCAGGGATGTAATCAGCAGAAAAGGAGGCCCTGGAATTAGTTCATAGGGGATCGGTGTCTGGGGTTTGAAAGGTAGGAAGGCAAGGGCTGCAGGATTCAAGGTAGAATCCAGGAAAGCGCAGCCATAAGTGGGTCCTACTGATTTCGGTCATGTTTCCCTTGCCCTCCTAAGGAGATTGGATTAAATAGTAAAACAAAATGACATAATAATGACTTTAAAAATTGCCTGAATGGTGGACGGTGTCTTTAAGAATTTCTTTCAGGGAAACAACTGCAATACCTTCTACGAAATTCAAAGTAGAAAAAGTGACCATTTTTTTCTCTCAACCTATAGTGCAACGGCTTTAAAACATTATTTTTTTCACAGCCTTTTTACCAAATCCTGAACCTGAACCTATTGGTTCACAAATATGCCACTTTTTCTGTTAAATAGAGGGACTGCAAGGATAACAAATGAGTGAAAGCTTGGTCAAAAGACGGTATGCTGTATTGACTAACCCCCTTTCCTAATAGCAATAATAAGAGGGAAAAACGGGAGTTTGAGAAAGATCCCAGTGTGATTTATAAATCATTTGCTACAATGTGTCTATCAAAGTTGTTATAACCTAGTACTGAGATGAGGGGTGGTTAATGGGGCATTGCTTTCTAAAAAGTTAATAAGGATGAGTTTTTTTAGAGTACATGTATTTCATTTCCTTCCTTTCCAAAGCGTGTATATTAGCCCCAAGATTGTGCCCAAGAAAGCCAATAAGAAAAGCTACAATTTTTCAACCCCTCCCATCCCATTGGAAACATTTGAACCCCCTCAAAAAATTTGGATCTGATTTGATCTTGGATTACAATCGGGTCCGGACGAACTGGCTTCTTCACAGGGAGGTTTGAGGTTTTAATGAAAGTGTTCAGCCCCCCACCCCCAAAAAGAGAAATAGCGAGGAAAATTGAAACTGTGAGCTTACTCTGGGTCCTGGCATTCCTTGATCTCCTTTTAGACCAGGTGGTCCCGTCGGGCCATCTGTGCCAGGTGGACCCTAGAAGGAAAACCATTTTGGGTTTATCTCCTCGTTACATGTATTATGCATGACTGATAGGAAAATGCTGATGAGAAATGGAGGAATGTTTTAAAGAAGTGTCGTTTTTGTGAGCTTCCGTTTGTTGAGGTCTGAGTTCATTTTGGGTTGTGTGCTTAGATATTTTTTCCTTTTTTCATCAATGATCTAGAAAAATAGGTATTATATAACATAAATTCAGAGATTCAGTCCAAAATGGGAATTAAAATTTCTATGAGTATCCATCTTACACCATTTAAAATACTGAGAAAAGATTTACCCCAGTGAATTGAAAACACAAAAATTGTCTCTTAATTAGAGCAAAGATTGTGAGCACAGTTTCTGAAAAAACACTGCAAAAATTCAAAACAGAAATCAAGAAATTCCAATAGATTTGAAATACGTATTAGTTTTCCTTGAAAGCAGCAACTGCATATTGTAATGGTGGCTACTTAATTAGTTTATACAAGCCTGTCTGCATTCACATTTTGATAATTTGATCCATCAAGAGGTTAAAGGTTAGGTCGATTTGCAGAATTTCAAGAGCCATTTACATACACGTGAATAAATTCTGAAGAGTGCTCGACGTCCAAATTCAATTACCCCCTACTCAAAGCCTGTAATTTTCATCAAGGATGCAATTTTTTATGCAGTGCTGACTCTGTTCAGTAGATCTGCTGTGATATCGTGTGGTAGAGACATATTTGCATTGGCCAGTGATGCCGATTAACGGAAACATATTTCTTTTCTGCAAGACAACAAAGTGGGCTACTCATTTCCCAAATCACATGCCAGATTTTATGACTAAAACAATTAATGAATGTTCATAACATCAAACAGCTGATTTCTGTAAGAGTTTCAGATGTCTTTTAACTGTAATCTTAAATGCAGTTTGTTACTTTAGAGTTTGATATTGTCGGAATATTGGTGCATACTTGTATTTTAGTAGATTTTATATAGCAGTGGTTTAGAATAAAATGTGAGTACAAATACAAATGTAAATAAATTCAGGTTTTACTCAAAGAACATATATAAATGGTTGAAAGGAAAGACAGAGCACCTGCATGCCTGGGGTTCCAGGGGCCCCTGTGTCACCTTTGACCCCTCGTTTGCCCGCCTCGCCTTTAGCACACCACCTTTTCCATGCATCCTCGGGTTTGGGTCTTGGGGTGGGTTTGAGTGTGGGCTTAGGGGGCGGGGTTGCCTCCAAGTGGCCAAAAGCAAATCAATGAAACAAAGTAAACCAAAAGGAAAGGAAAATCATGCTGAGCAAATAGCGAGGGCAAATGCAATGGACTGAAAGAACAAACAATGGAATTATTAAGACCTTCTTACGTCTGTGAAATTAAGAAAGCTTACTGAATTCTACATCTGAAAATATCAGTATTTCATTTTATTTTTGGTTTAGATTTGTTATATTACTTGACTGTCAGACTCATACAGGAGTGGAATGTTGTAATAGTCAACAGTACACAAATTACGATTCGCACATTTTTAGAAAGAAGTGACAGCTGGGGAAAATGGAAGTTCTTGTGCCAACCGCAGACCGCGGAATTTTGAACAAATTCATCCATCTGTGTGTTGTTATTTTTATTATTTTTCTGATAACTGGTGTTAAACTGTTGCCGCCCTGTATTAAAACAAACCGCTGCATGATGAATGGACGCCGTAGTTGTAACTTTGAAAACGTTGTCTGGTGGTGTGTAACTGAAGCGAAAGTCCATAATACAGGTCAATAAACTGCCAAGCCAATTCTGAATGGTTTTACAGGTTTGATTGACATGCAGTGTAGAAATTCAAAGTAAAAGCAAGGCACTGTGCACGCACAAAAGGAAGGAAGAGGGGAAATGGTTACATATTGGTGCTTGCGCGACATGTCTCAAGTGTCAGCTTCATGCAAGAGTGCAAAAACAAAACTTCGTTTTCGCAACAGAAAAAAAGCACAGAGATGCGGATACTGACTGAGGAAATTGTTTCCAAAGATTCAAGTTCTCTCTTACCTCGGTTGTGCTCATATCAGGGACCGGCGGTGGGGGCGTGGGCGGGGGTGTCGGAGGCGCCCTGGTCGTACGGGTCACCTGGGGTGGTTCCAGAGTTACTTCTGTGGACGGGTGTTCCGTCGTTGTCACGACGGAGGGCCGCGTCTCAGTGTTGTTGCCTAGCTGGGCGGCCAGAACGGATGGCGGTGGAGGTGGGATCATTGGGGGCGGAGGCAGGCGCAGAGTGACAATATGGTTGATACCATCGGACGCGATATCAAGGCCCAGGGTTGGTGCTACGTCTTCGATAAATCTGGTGCTGTCTCTTTCTCTGCTTGATGGTGGGGCTGGACAACAATTAAAATGCATTAATTACGGTAAAGTTTTTTTGTGCGCAGCAACATATACATGCAGGTCCGTAAATATATCATTATTGTGATTTTTAGTCGAATTGGTTTCCCAGTAATTTGCATACTTTTCCTGAGATTACGGTGAAATTCTCCTTGACGAACTTAAAAGATTTAATTCCATCAAATTTTCAAGACTCACATGTGCATTTTGGGCAACATCTACCGGGCTTGTGAATTTGTTCATCACAGTGTAACTTGGGACAGATCTTTGTCCGACACTGTAACTCTCCTTTCTGCGAAAAAATGGAAACCAGCGAGTGATTTCATGACACATTGGGATGAAAATTTTAATTTCAACGAAGTACTGTATAGGTGTAAGGGGTGAAAACATTTTTTGACACACTGAAAGGTTACGGTAAGCGATATCATAGTGACTTGACTGAAAAAATAGTAACACCAAAACCAAAACAAATGGTCACAATGATGATTTCCAAATTGGCATGCTCAGATGTTGTTTTTTTTAAAGGTACACCCGAATAAATTTAGAAACGGATTCTTTCCATAAAGGAATCTCTAAAATCTTGTTAATTTTCTCACTTAATGCCAGCGCATGTCAAAGGAGGCCGAAGCTTTGAAAATGGTCTCTCACCGTGCAGCGGCATCGCACGCAAGGGTCTTCCTTCAACGCAATCTTCCTGGACCCATCCGGAATAATCTGGCCCTGGTATTCACAATAATCTAAACGGGGAGAGTTAGAAAACAGGGTTGCCCGATGAAAGGTGATTGGATTAGCTTCTTCGGATAATCCACAGTGTGTGCAGGATATTGAATTAGGTGCATCTTGTGAAGGACGGGATGGGCCGCATGTAGGTTAGATCAAGAGAACTCAAGAGATTTTACCAAGCTGTCGGTAAGACAGTTGAATATTTTAGAGTTGCATCATCAATCGACCGTGCCAAAGAAACTTTGGCGGGGGCTGAGCGTCTTTAAATTAGGGAGGGGAAAGTGTGGTCCCGTACACGTGGTTATAGCTGGGGAATTCAAGTCTCAGCCCAATTATAATAATTTCACAAACTAAGAGAACATGTTACCGGTGTGGCGGTCTCGGCTGTCTCCTGGTCTTAACGGTCCCCCTGACCAAATATGGTAAAAATACGTCACGCCATCTATGCGCACAACAACAGGCAAGTCGCCCGTTTAATGTCCGGCTATTCAGGTGGACCGCTGAGACCGGTATATTGCATGCCCCCGATTAAGACGAAGGTCTGTGTGAGCTGTACACTCAAATGTCAACATCAGGTGAGGTAGGCCCATAGAAACATTTTGCACGTTGTTGACTAGCTCAGAGCGAAATATATTTTCATAACAGCACTGGTGTTGAATGTATAAGATAAGCAGGATTTTAATGTAATACCCAGCCAAACGAATGTCCAAAATTCACGTGGAAGACGTTACGTTCAAGGCAACTGACCTGCCATGCATTGGGCATATTGCGCGTTGATGGAGGAAACGCGTAACAATAATTATGAAAAAAAAAACTTCAACAAATATTCACACATAATTACTGAAAAAACATGATTGAACGCCAAGAACTTTAATTCTAGAAATTTGACTGGTTATATGAGGCTTAATTCTTGTAGGTCTAGGCCCTACATGTCACGCACCTTTGGACGGTAGAGTTACTTGCCCCTGCGACCAGCGCAGGAAACCCGCTATCACAACAACTCCGATGAGGCACGTGTGTCCTCCATGCATCTTGGAACCGCACTCTTTGGTATTACATTCCACTCTTTGCGATACCAACTAAAAAAAGTATGAGAGAGAGAGAAAAAAATCAGTGACTATCAATTCGAGCCATCTCGCGGGATAACAAGAACGCAACGATCACAGTCATTGACAATTCATTGACTTATGGTTACCAGAAAGGCCTCAAGAATTTTTGGCTTGCTTTTGACCATGCTATAGTTTTCCAAAATCAACGGGATGTCAGACTCACGAAGTGATTAATTGTTTTATAGGACTGAGCAAAAGCACGTTCTCTGCAGACCAGGGAGTGAGCCGGCCTACACAGTGGCAAGAGTGGGCCTATATCTTCACGGCATTTGGGGAAGACGGCATGACGTACTCGGTGGAGGCATGCCTTTGCTGCAAGACATTTTTGGTTTTCAGCTTTCATTTGGAGGTAGGCCTAAGCCAAAAATATTCACTCTGTCAGAGAAGGCTCATCAAAGCGCCCCCCTGCCCTGAGGCTGTACCCTGCGATACGGAGCACCGATGACATATCCCTCCGCCGCTTTCAAGATCATTCGCGCGCGGGAAGACATCGACACGAATATGACTTATCACGCGCTTTCTGCGAAGTGCCCAGGATTCTAATCACGCTGATGTGTTACTCGATCCTGTAAAGCTGTCCCCCTTGTGTCAATTCCGTGAATTTCGATCAGCCTCGTGCCCACCTCAGTACGGTGTGGGCTTTTTTTTCCCTGGCGCTGACATGTCGATGAGGGGCACTGCGGTCCCGTAAATTCCACCCAGCTACCTGATTCGCGCCATGAAATGCTAATTAGCCCTACTCGTTCGGCGAGCGACATCAAACTCTTGAGTTTGAAATGGTTGTAGCAGTTCTAAATTAAAGTGAAAATATACACCATTGCCTTTTAGACTTAAAAACTGTAGTGTTTAAAACTTATAAAGAGTGTTTTGGAGGTTTAAGGCGACCAGATGCTTAGACTTTAGAGGAAGGTGCAAGAAGGGCTGTTTTTTTTTGTAGCGATCGATTTGATTTTCGTTGTGAAGGAACCTTCATCAAGCCATCAATGAGCGACTTATTTTGTGCTTCATCCTGTTTGCTCTCAGGCCCACCAGCTCGTTATGTTTCATCAATTTTCACTTGTAAGTCCATCGATGTGCCGCCTGCCTATAGTCATTGTTCTCCGATATAAAAACTAGTTTTCTGATGTAACCTCTACACTACGGGCTGTTTGCGCTACAAAATAAAATTAGAGATTTGTTGTACTCAATATGTTTCAATATTACATCAGATATTTTTATACACCCTTCGTTTAGATGACGATAAACCGGACGTTAAAACGCTCTTAGTCCGTATCTATCGAGAACGTCATTTTAAAACATCAAGAATGTTATGTGAAGAAACAGATTTCACTCTGCATGCTTCAGAGAATCCTCTTCACCTGCAACTGGAATCCCCGCGTTCTTAGCAAACATAATTTTGGTTCGAGTTGACAGTCGACTTGAATACATCCATCTTGATTGTATATATTAAAATGTTAAACTAGCAGACCCTATCGGTGTCGGTATGTTTCGTGGAGCGGAAGCGGCAAGTGGCAATCACTCCGCGGTGCTCTGTATGAATTTCACCGGCACACGACTCGACGGCAAACGCGCTGTGTATAACATTCTCGCGCGGCCCGTACCTCAACCCAACCCGAGTCCGCTGAGTACCCTACGGCTTTTTCACGCGTGACTCCACATACGGCAAGTTCATTGATTTTGCTTACGGTGTGGGTAATTGGAGACGGGCAGACATCTTCCTTCTCAAACGAACTATTACCATTTCACATACAGTTTAGTCTGAGGTAATATACCACCGGTCACAGTCTCAATCTCATAATACCTTTGGCACAGAAGTAGCCAGGATATTTGAAAAGTGAGACTGTATAATAGAGGGGAACATTGTGATGATAAAGAACTGCAAACTACGCTGCTGAGTGCAATGTAATAAGCCTCACCTTTTCATAATTATGCACCACTCGGCCATCTTAAAAGGAAAGTGGAATTTCGCAGAGTTTAGGCTGAAAGCTATGTTGTCTCCGTCCTCTTTTTAACAGATCCCTCGAGTTTTAGTTTTGGAGAACATACTAACGTTTGGTAGCCTACGTCCAGGCTAACCAGATACTCCGTCACAGGCTGCTAAATTTTATGTACATTTTAAGTGGTTTAGAACTCTATTGTAAAGTGATCCAAACACGAGATGTAAACGAAACATTATCATATAATTTCATTTACAGAAAGCATCTTTGTAAACCAGAAAGGAGTGGTTATCAAATGTTACCATAAAACCCCGAAGAAAAATTACATGAAAAAAATAGCCGTCACATTGCCAGTGCCGACTACCCCAACACTGACGAATATTGACTTTGTAATTAAGGACATGACATCGATTGAATTTCACTGCCTGAGGGATACTCGAGATGACTGCAATTTGGCCGAGGCGGAACCGTAACTCGCAGTATACATCCCATGGTTGGCTTCTTTTAAAGCCATAAATTTCCTCCTTTTTATGGGGATTGGAAAGGACGATGAGGATAAATTCTGGGGCAGGCAAAAGCACAAGGTTTAACGGTAATGAAGACGGAGAAGAGGTGATACTTGCTCGTTTTTGTAACATTTGAAGGCCTTCTGAGGCACAGCGATGTGAAACTTCGGCAAAATTATGCAAAGAAATGAAACAAATTACCTGATTTCAATATGACACAAAGGCCCTATAATCTGGTACCACTAACCCTCTAATTGATGTCCTGCGTAGGCCTATGTAGGAAACTGACAAATGCTTCGAGTTAAGGCTTGGAGTATTTCCCCGTATCATTCACAAATCTTTCAATCGTCTGTTTGAAAAAAACAAAGCAAACTACACATAACTAAGTTAAGAGGAGTCGAATAATTATGTACGTGCACATTAAATTTTGCCTGTCTCAAATGGACCTAACTGCAATGTAATATTTAATCGCATTTCCTAACGTCCAACGATCGGAGGATTTTAGGTATGCGTGTGTATAACAGTATAAATCATAATCATTTTTCTGTGATCAACCGCCGTATACAGCGTTCCAATGCACTAAACAGCATCCCGTGTTTGATGATACCACGAAAAGCCTTTTCATACAATCCCAATGCGACGTGTTTAGTCACACAGACTTATCCGTTTTAACATTATACCTATAGTAAGTTCACCGGCACCTGAGCACACAACGCCCGGGAATATTTTCACGAGTATCAAGCCGATTAGCAAAAGCACCCCCGGCGCTTCCAGCGGGGCGTCCCGTACAAAAATAGCGCGCAGCGCCGTGTAAGTGACTTTGTGCGCGATACCCTCGGAATTGACACTTCGGGATTTACGTTCACATGAATAGCCACAGTGGCGGCGCGAAGTGGCGGCGCGAAGTGGCGGCGGTTGCAAATTCTCGTCAAATTTGTTGGATGTAATTTAATAAGCTGCCTACGTAATTTTGCTCTCTTCGTCATATCCGGAGGCTGATTACTGAATAAGCATTCTTGGAAAACAAAAGTGTCAGTCGTGTACCATGAAAAGACAAAACCGAGAAGGGTAATTCTTTTGAGCGTGGAAATTCGTGCCCAGCACAGTCGACAATCAAGTCAAGAAACAGTTACATTTTGGGGCTTGACATTGAAGAGCTTAATTATTTTATTTATTATTTTATTCACTGTAAAAATTCCCTCCTTATGTCTCGTGTGTATCAGTTTGCTTTTCAAATTACATTAAAGTATTTCTGCGGTTGTTGTATACCTTGACGACTCTCTGTCCTCTCTGTTTCCTGATCAGCTAGTCTGGTAACTGCGATACTTGTTCAAAATTCACCAATTATATATCCGTGAAGGTTGTGCCCAATAATGGTGATTGTCAAATTCGTACATGCATTACACGCAGGTGCAAGGCATTTGGGGACCATAAGTACTGCCCAAATACAAACTCGTTAATGGGAATTTAAATATGAACGTAATACGAACCTAAAACATACACTTTTAGAAACAGCCACTGCCTTTATACGTTTTAACATTTGTTGAATTTTCCCTGTATTCGCCGTCCCTTACGAGAGCACCGTGACGTGACAGCAGACAAGGCAAAGTAGACATCTCTCTGGTATATCCGTGCAAAAATCTATCTACCTGTACCACTAGCAATCATCGCCGTGCCTGAAGACCATTCCATAGCTGACCATAAAAAATATACGCAAAACTATCGCACCTGGTGCATTCCCCGACATTCCTAATTATTACAATGAGGCTCAGTATCGATAATCCGGCCTTGGGGACCGCACAGCGTGGACCATGGAGCGAGAGCATGCCGTGGTCCCGGTCTGATGAGGGAATGAATAGGTAACAGCAAGGCCAGTTAGTCTACCATTAGTGAAGTGGCTTGCTGCGATGTTGGTTAACAAGGCGAGTACCTCTCCGGGTTCTCCGTCCATTTTGGAATCAACTGGAGATTTTATTTCAATTCAGTCATAAGTGGCACCCTACTAAGAGCACGGAAGAAAATTTGCTGAAAGACCTCATTTGGGGGTCTGTACCTTTTATTATATACACTTTGCTTTGTGTATTTGTGAATGACCTTAACTTAAAAGCACGCTCAATGATCCCTCGACTATAGCTGCATTGGATTTGGATACAGCGACTTGCCGACAAATCGGTGCGTTCAAAACGTTAAGAGCGCGCATCTCTCCACACATGTTCAAGCAAAAACATACGATAGTTTCCGATCAAAGTGGCAGAAACTAGGGACCTAAGAGCCCACAGCAAGTGGGTTAAGACACTAAAGATGACAGACTTAGCCCGCCTGAGAAATATTACTACAATAAGGGAGAGACCGGAAACAGTACAGTCTATCCATCCCCTGGTATATACGTGTACTAGGCTACAATGTAATGGACGAGGAAGGTATGCGTCCGCTTGCATCCACTGCCTTTAAATAGGATGCATACAGGAAAAGGCTAATCTCTTCCGCACTACCTTATGGAGGAAACATGAGTTTCGCAAAGCAATGTGGGTAGCTTCTGCCTCAATCACAGTAAGGACATTCAGCACGCACATTCAGCACGCACTGAATTGCACCTCAAGACTACATTAGGCCTACATCCTTTTGCTTTTGCAAATCAATACAACACCATGCCTGGTCATACACAATGACCCACTTTTTGGTCAACTCTACCAAAGGAACACAATGATAATGACTGGAAACACAGTACGTCCTTGTGAATGTCAAGGTTTGTAATTGTAACAGCTTCCTTATTCCACACGTGCCCTTCGGCTACAAGGTGAACGGCACTAGAGCAATCAGAACTGCTAGGCTACCATATCATTCCAATGGAGACACACGTCTCAACTCCAGGGCTGGTATCCATCATGAGGTTCGCATGGTAATAATCAAGCTGTTTGAGTTAAATCAATGCCCCCGATGGGAGTGCGAAGGTGTAACTTAAGCGGTATGAGCACAAATGGGAACCGTGTCCCAAACACTGAACTGTAATGCAGCAACGTGTTGTCACGGAACACATCTATTGTGCTCTCGTACTTCAACAAAAATAAGGAACTTTTGACGTGATCTGTTCAGTTCAAACATCATCAACAGTGGATTAATTAGTTTTAGAGTTTCGCATATCACACTTGTACAAAAAATACATTAAAAGTGCCTTTAGAGTCAATTCTGTTCAATATACGCATATTTCTGTTATTTGAAAAAACTGGATTTTTACAGAGAGGTGTGTTTTTAAATTAAATCTTAAATTTAAAGAAATAATATACAAATTAACGCAATTAACTCTCCGAAAATATCTACTCCCGATTTTGGCTTTAATGGTCATTCAACGACATATGGCTGGCACTCCTAACCAGGTATTATCAACCAATCATAAGCCACCACGTCAGCCTTTAAAATCAATAGGGAGACAGAGAAAAAGAGCTAATTAGCATACGGAAGATAATAAATCAAACCAGTCGAGGGATGAAGTGACCGCTCTGCAGCCAGTCACCATCTGGTATGGGAACACGTTGCGATGGTTGGAGTCGGAAGTGGAGTTGGTTTGTCCCAATAATTAAGCTATACGCCTATGTCGATTTACAAATTACCGTGCATTTATGGCGAGATGGGGAGGGAGGCATTTAGCGCGGAGAGACTGAAGATGCATATCATGATCGCTATAAAGAGTGCGGAGCTCCATCGAAGAGTTCTTCGGTAGATCTGTTCTACTATTTGGAATTTGAGAGACTCAGTGATATTTAATGCAAATATTTCATTTGATCTTAAGACTGGTACACTACCAAAACTGTGTTTAGCAGTCATTTCCACATACTTTCTTTCAGTGTTCAAATATGTTTAGACACCCAACTTGTTTAGAGTACTGTTTAAAAACTGAGAATTGATGTTGTAGGACTTTAAAACATATAATGTTTAGCTCCTAAGCATGTTTACACGTGATAGCACAGTTAGTATTAATTTCTTAAGACAATTTGAGACTTTATGGAGCAAGACGTTCTCTGCTGCAGACAGCCACGTCACACGCAAACCTTCCCAAAGGCCAGGTCTCCCAATTTTGCACACCTCACAATAACAGCACAAAATGTATTGGGGTGCGCATTATGCAACCTCACTCTCCCCGACAAGGGCCATCTCGACTACGAACTTCACTGGATGGCAGAGCACTCCAGCAATGATGATGATGATGATGTTGTCCACTATCCGGACACCAATCGGCCTTTCCGCAAGGCCACTTTCTATTGGGGGAAACCGGCGGTTCATACCCGGGTTAATTACATGTCGCGGAGTACATCCTCGTTCGATGTTTTCCGTGAAAATAAATAATCCATAATTGGCCTCAAATCCCTCTAGTGTATTTATACATGGAGTGAAATATTTTACCGTAAGTTCTGTTCCCCTTCTGAATCAGTCCAATTTATCTGTCTGAATCAACACATTCATTTTTCAACTGTCACTTTTTGCCTTCTTGATAAATCTAAATCCGTAAGAGGTGTGGTGTATTTTCTAGTTAGATATTAACAAGGCAACTTCCAAAGAAATTTTGAATTGAATACAAAAGTGTGACTTTCAATTTACCTGTGAATATTACAGCTTCGCTTTTACTGAAAATAGTTCATGAAAACGGCAGTTTCCTGTCAAGGTGTAAAAAAAACAAAGAAGAATCCAGCCATTTAGAGCAGCGAATATTTAATGCTGTCAATGATGAAAAGGGTGAAAGTTGATATCAGATTAACTTACTCGTTACGTAACAATATGACACTGTAAAGAATCCTTATACATATGTACTACAGATTAATCTGAGCTCAATATGATAATATGATCCGGAAACTATTTATAAGTTTAAGCTATGACATCAGTTTTTCGCTGTTTCCCCAGCACAACCACAACTCACAGTGAGGAGCTTGCAATATGTCGCGGTAGGTAGACGCCTTTAAAGATTCGAAGATGCGGCATTTTCATTTATGTCTAATAAAATAAATCTGTGGTGGCTGTATCCATTACCCCTGTTTCTTCTAGTCTTGCATCCCAAGCGTGCCACATCTGGCTTAGATGTTTGGGGCTTTTACGTCATACGCGTGCATCAAAACTGAGAATTAAATTCCTCCATCCCGGCGAGACGTTGCAAAGTCGTAAACCGCACTGCCGCAATTGAGACTTGGGTTTTTCATGTAGAACAAGGTCAGAAATAAAAGGGACCGCTGAACTTGCTTGAAAGGTTGATGTAAGAAAGCTTGAGGGCACGTACTGGCTGACCCTCTCAGTAATATATGTGATTCGGCACAGACAGCTCAGCAACGTTGAACTATACCACGAAACCAATGAATTTGGTCAGAACTGCATTAAAATAAAGTGTGACATTTATAACGCATTTATCACAGACTTGAGAGTCTGGTGTCGACGCTGTATAGTTACAAATGAAAAAAAATAAACATTTATGTTAAAGTTACATACTTTAACATTACTCCACTGCTGAGAACGACCAAAGCACACTGATCGAAACGTCAAGTACACACTCACTGGTTCTTATCAGAACCACACCCATTCAAAAGAAGAGATGTATCCCCATGCTGTCTGTCTCCGCTATGCAAAGCTTCAAGTCATCCGTTTATGTTAAGTTTAAGCAATCAAATGAGGTCCAGTATAACAGCTCTATCGGTGATGTTCATATTAGGCTTCTCGTGAAATATAAACACAAATGAGAAAGTATGTGTCACTAAATATGGCTCAACCGAGGTTTTTACAATTTTAACAATTCAAGAGCAAAGCGCTCAATGTAAATTAATTTTCATAAATTAATTAATAAAAATGGGGACTTATCAAAGATTCAAAGGGCATGTTCACAAACTGTGACACATTTTGCCTAAAAATGCTTGATAGAAACCTGATTAGTTGACTAGATTAGTTTTGACTAAACACGTTTAGTCAAAAACGCACCAAGCCAGTTAAAATATGCAATATCGCGAATTCTTATAATATTCAACAGACGGAATTAAACTATCGGTCTTTACATATCGTACTGGAACTTGCAAACAATGACGTGAGAAATCGGACACCAAACCTGCGCATACACGCTATCGAATCCATTTCGATCTTAACCGGGCCAGCTCTGGGGGGAAGGAAATCGGTCATTTCTAAAACAACTCATCCACTTACCCGAGGACAGAACGAACACGGGCATCCGACATTCTACACTGATTGAAACTGATGGTGGTAATTCAATTTGTCCCTGCCATTTTTTGGAGGACGATAAACACTTTCACGGGCATATAGGAGGATAGGGTGTCCAGAAGGCAGTCTCATTCGACTGCGAATTATTTCTCCGATTTTATTCCGTCCCTGGTTCAATTTGCAAATTTAAGTGAAAATCTATCCAGTGCCACGATGCAACTAAGGTGATGAAAGTTTTCAAACGAAGGACAAATAAAGTAACACTAAATACTTGCTGCATAGTCACGCAATCGACAAGCCTTTTTTTTCATATTATTCCCTTCTCATCTGATACAGATCAAGAAACCAGCCTATTTCGACGAGTAGCCTGAAATGCACCGTCTATGAAAATTTCTCAGCACCACATACGTCAACAGACTGCTTATTCCAGGTACCAAATGATACTCTACCAGAGCGAGGCCAAGTGTGGTAAAACACCCCGTTGAGATGAGCTGTCAACATTGCACCACAACAGTTTAAGAACCCAGTTTTTAAACAAGCTCTCAACCCAAACCTTTGACCAGCGACACATCTGCGTTCGTTTAGGATACGGCGCACTTGACCCCAACATTTCGGCATGATATTCCCATTAGTGATAAGTTCACTATGGCTACAACGAAGATCATATTGACTAGAAAAATACTCTGAGAACAAATGAACACTGTCTAAGACTTCTGCATTAATAATAATCATCCATCATGAAAAATCAAATCATGGATTTAAAAAAGCATTTGCATGGAATATTTTTTGAATTGCAAAGACCCCTGACATCACGTCAAAACATAAGATGTCGTTGAAAAAGTGTGCCAGTGACAGTTTGCAGAACTGTTGGGGCAACTCAAACGATATAAACAAAAACAACCTTGTTCAGCATAAAAGCTTACCGGTATCTCAGTGGAAATGATTAATTTCTGGAACGGAATGATTTAGGGACTTACCTTGTTACTGCGGCTGATAAGGCTTCATCATCACAATAGCTGGCATCTCCCATTAATTAGCATCATGGGAACCATCCAGGGGCTCCTGTGGTGAATGACAACAATAGCCGTTAGTCGCGCTTGATGGAATCTTAAAATGAAGTATATTTGCATCTATCTACCCAACGAAAGTACAAATCCCTAGACTGGAACACTGGGTTCCAGCCGATGCGGTAGTAAGTACAGTGTGTCTGACTGCATGTGCCGGCGTGATAAATTAATAGATGTTTCAGGTGTGTGTTTCTGAGTGTCTGGGATCGATGTGGACGGGTAGAGTGACGTCCGTGACTTCTCTATATGTGTTCTTGGCGCTGTGAAGCAATGGCGATACATTACACAGCTTTATATATGGAGTGGGGCGTAGACTAGTTACAAGTCCTTCCAAGTGTGAATATATTGCAAGAGCATTGTGGAGCCACACGGTATTATGCCAATGACCGCTTGCTTGTTCCCGAATTCAGGCACCTCTTCGACATTTCCTGAAGTCAGCAGCATATCGCGAATTCCCAGATTACATCGAGATGTATGTCAAATTCAGAAACGAATGGACTGCAATGATGTCACTGCCAGTAGTCTATATTTAACAAACTTTTGTCCGAGCAAAGTTCAAACGGTCAGGCACGCAGGTTAATTACTATACAGTTACCGGCGTCGTGCTGGGCAGTGTTTTACACGAGAATGCAACGGTAGAGTAATGTATGACGCACGTTAACACACTCAAACCAGGATTCTGAGCCGAGATTTACATCAGGCAAAAACTGCATTAACCATTCAGATGTAGTTTGCGGCGATTTAAGCTCAATGCTACCCGCAGGCACGTGTATTTTTATTCATTTGAATGTGATTGATCTATACGCAGATGCAGATCAACGTGATATACAATTGATTGAAACATTCGTTGCAAAAGAAAAACGCCATGGGTAGAAAATAAATCAGCAGCTTCACATTCGTGGTGTAGGCGCTCAAGGGAGTCGTCAATAGAACTAATTCATCATTCATCAAGTTTGGAGAAGTGACATACCGCCACATATAATGAAGTCCTCATTTTCACAAGAACCCGCCAAACACTTTGTGACCGCCGCACAAGCCCAATGGACCATCTACTCGTGGCTGAAGTGCCAGTCTGCGCTGCTGCTGCTGCGGCGGTCGTCGGCATTTCCAATAACTGCCACACGTGACGGCGTTTAATTTGCCGCCCGGCGAGTGATGAGTCGTTAGGGCATAGTTAGGGGTTTGTCAATGGATGCAAGGTTCGTGTGTCCTACACTCGTCGCTGGGTGGCGCTGTACCGGCATTCCAAAGCGTGGTCTTGAAATGCACTGCAATTGTGAACAAGAGGAGATGAAACAAAGGTTTTCTCCAAAACAACTTTTAAGAATCAGTCGGTTGGTTACAACTAAGATTCTCAGGCAATGTATATCGAAGGCGTAGCAGCCACGGAGCTCCAAGCTCGTTTCTGTCTTCGAGAGTGTTCAAGATCGAATAACAGCAAATGTTTGAAAGTAGTTGCAGGAAATAAGTTTGTGCTGAGGAACGCAAGTTAAAATTTATTCATGCGGTTTCAGCCCTGGAAGGTACTACAGGGATTTGTACAAGGCTCCTGAAATCACCTGAATGAAACCTCCCCACCTGTCGGGATTCATCGTCGTCTGGCTTCGATAATGAACCCTCTCTGGTCGGACACACGGATGCTATCCTAGCCCTCAACCCGATAAGGTCAACCCCGCCACACGTGGTCGGGGTAGGTTACCGCGTCGCGCGCCTTCAACCCATGGACTGAGTGTGGGCTGCGTGTGTAGCGGGCTGAGGGGACGGGTTGACTCGCGCGCTTCAGCAAAGACCGAAAACTGCACCTTATTATACTATCATAATGACGTTCAGATTTATTAACATTTTCTTTAATTTTCTGCTACTTCCCAATTAAGATGTGATAATTCTGTGGCGACAGAAACCCGGTTGCAAATAAATGAGCGAAGGAGATGGAGATAAAAGCTGAAATTATAATTGGTAAAAAATCGAAAGGTATATTTGAATCTTAATGCTGCATGATATTGAAATTTAAACACGCACAGATCCCATGACGAATGGCTTCAATTATTCCAATCTCAGCGATAATGAATCCAGGGACAAAAGACTGGTTTTGACGATAGCCATGAGACAATAAACCAACGAGGCAGAATTGAACAATCAACCAATTCACTGTTACATAAATAACACACACTGCATTGCACCTCTGTACTAGAAGTATCTGTGATTGGACCCCAAGGCACAAACAACACACAGGAGGCGTTCAACTTGATCCTGCTTCAGTTATGCATAAACCTAAACATTTATATATGCGCATAAAATCTGTCACCAGGCGGTTGCCAATTATCTCTACATTTTCAACACCCAGGGGTTAGGACCTGCATTAAGCAAAAAACCCATTATTAATCCCTGCTGATAGCGATGTGTTTAGCCCCGTGTCTGACGAAAATAGAATGGGTACTATGCCCGATGATCATCTGTTAAACCTCTTCGTGAAAACTGGATGCTCACAACGCCAACACATCGGTTTTTGTCTCGTGATGTCTCAGGGAACGCTCCTGCTTTGGGCCAATTTCACATGGTAAATTGATTTCTCTACCATTTTGGGTATAAAATTGACGATATGTGTATCTCTAATGAACAGACGATGAATCAGTGTTGTTCTGGCAGGTATCAGGGAATATCTACATCGATTCACCGCACAGGTCTACACTACTACGGGTGACAAGTTTTGTATTGAGTTAGTCGACCATGCCGACAGGGTTGCCCAGTGGAAAGATAAATTCTACTGACCGTAAAAGAATGAAATTAAACAAAGGAATGACAGGACAAAAACTTGTTAGGTGTAACCATATAGAGAGGGTGATGTATAACTCGAATAATTTCTGCACAGAATCCTTGGCCTAAGGTCGCCTGCTAATTGATGATCTTCTGGGCCATGTCGACCCGGACCCCTCTGGTGCCTTCCCGCGAAAATGGAAAGTCAACAAAACAAGACTGTTGGATTGGAACATGTCCTCGAGATGTGGTCCATTCGATTGTAAAAAAAAAAAAAAAAGGAAAAAAAAAGAAGGTTTACTTAATGTTTTCCCCAGGTGTTCTGACCACCAAACAAAGATCTGCCTGTTGATTCTTGGTACCTTGTGAACTTTAACAGGACGCAACTGAAGTGGCTGGTACTTGAAACCTATGGAGGAAGTAACTTAATTCTCCAATGACCCCCTTGTCACAGAATTTAGAAGTGGTGAAAAAATTCCACACAATACACTCTGTAAAGACTGTTATGCTCTTATCTATGTACTGTCTACAGTCCCACTATAAAGAAAGCGAAGAGCAAAAACAAACGACCAAGCAGGCAAACTATAACAGACAAATCCGCCTCGAGCAGAAGCACCCCCTCATCGGTTGAAAAGAGCCACATTGGTTGGGAGTGAGTGTTCAATTTGTTGGTAGCAATACGACCTCGACGCATGCATTTCCTAGTCGTTCGTGAACCAGTGAATTTCAGTTCAGACCAAAAGAAAAAGATAAGAAAAAAGCGCCCTCTCTTGGTCCAGCTCGAAGCCCATAAAGCTACAATTAAAAATCTGAATCGTTTTCACACTATCCATTTGTAATTACTGTATCAGTATGCTCTATGACAGAAGTAGTAACACGGATCCAATAACCCACTGGTAGCTGTTTACCTTCTAAAGAATTGATGACTCACTTCTCCTATACGTCACACTGCATCTAGCAACGTCACATGAGAGGTATAATTACGTCACAACTGGGACGCCTATCCCGTCAGAGACCAACACATCATATATGCTGACCCTTCTCGACACCAAAGTGGCCACCACAAGGCAACAAAATGCAGCCCCAAGAGAGCAATGACATTTCCAAATGTCACAACAATACAACGCGATGCTCACATGTGAAGGCTTCTTCCGAACGGGACTGTCAAGAACTATTACCGCGACCCCCGCCTGACAGTGGTCGACAGGATGCCTCCAGCCCGCTGTGAGTCAACATTTGTATGGCCGGCCCAGCCCCGGACCCTGGAAAGTTTTCATCATTGTACCTACTGGGTGTTCAAAAGGTGAAGGCGAATGCAATCATGATAGACAACCCTCCGCGCATTTCCAAGTATTGTTCTGTACTTAAAGTCTTTGGTGCATACTAGAGGCACACCCCATTATTAAGGGTGTCATCCACACCGTCCGTATTCGATGAAGAATTGCTTCAAAGCAACTCCACACCTTTTCTTCAAATTATACATCCTAATTAATTGCAACTTTTACATTCAGAGTTACTCATAATTTTGTAACATTATGAGAGCTACTAACAACTTTAACAGGAAATTGGAAAGGCCAGAAAAACTCCGACAAATTCTGATCAATAATTGTAAGTCAGAATTCCGCACAAGGCGAAGCGTCCTCCAACTCTACTCCTTAAAAACTTTCAGAAGGATTGTGGAAAATGTATATCAACAATGGCTTGTCCAGCATTGATAAAAATGTTGCGTGCACAACCAGAAGGGAACATTCAGAGCCATCACTGGTCTCGGACAAAAATGCTCTTCTTTGATATCACAAATCTTATTAAAAACAGACAAGGCAGCCTAAAAAAATGTGAACTATTGTGTACTGTTCACAGCTTCCTTTAAGTCGGAGTTGGACTGTTGCGCACTGTCGTGTAAGTCAACCCGCATACTTACCGGTGTTATCAAACCAAACACTGCATGATTCGCTGCGGTGCGCCTAACTCGTTTGAATCCGGCAGTAACGCTCGCTCCTCCCAGCGACGGAAACTCCGCATGCAGGTTCACAGCGCCAGGCTCAGGCCCCAATTCGAGCGTGGATGCCAAGGACTCTGGTAATTCACAAAAAACCCAAACAGAAGACTGACCACGAGCTCGAAAAAGGGGGGGAGATATTGTTGTCTGTACGCTTCCTCAGCAAGACGTGTCCATGTAGGTTTGCAATTGCCTCCACGAGTTACCTCATACAAAAAAGTACACCGAGACGGGTAAACACTACAGGCAGCTGTGGAACTATTAGCCGCATCTATTGTGCAGAGGTCTGTCACAGGCCAACCGTAAAATTCCTTGGCCAGAACTGACGCGCAGCGTCGGAAACCAATAAGTCATTTGAGCGAGAAATCACTTTTTGTGTCTGTGGCATTCGCTGTGTAACATTGTTAGTTCTGCCAGGATGCGCTTGACTTCACACGTGTTCAAGTAATGTGCGAACTCCCGGTATTAATGGCAACTACTATTTTTCACTTGACCAGTTTAAGTGTAC